CTTTTTTTGTTTTGCTGATAGCAGTCTTTGGAGGACGGAATTCTTTAAAGTCAACATGAAATCAAAATTGACCTTACTTATTTTCTTAGAGGAATATTTTTGGAAGGAATGAAAATTTGCTTCAAATTTCACCTTCAGGCCATCCAAGATGTAGATGAGTTTGTTTCTTCATCGGTACAGATTTAGAGAAATTTAGCATTACATCACTTGCTTACCAATGGATCCTCTGCAGTGAATGGGTGCAATCAGAGTAAGAGTTCAAACATCTGATTAAAAACATGAACACAATAATCCACAAGTAATCCACACAACTCCAGTCCATAAATGTCTTGTGAAGTGAAAAACTGCATGTTTGTAATAAACTAAACCATCTTTAAGGCATTTTAACATTAAACTGTTGCTTCCCGCCAAAATACCAGCCCATAATCCATAATAACGCTTCCTCCGGTGGAAAAAGTCAAAAAATGCACCTCTTTTAGCTTGCAAACGGATCTTGGTTTGTGCCCATTTCTCTTCTGATTCAGACGAGACGACTTTTTGATCGGAGTAAGCAATATTATGGATTTTAGCCAGAAGCAACAGTTTGAAGTTATAAACATCTTAATGATAGATTTGTTTCTTACAAACGTGCTTTTCACTTCATAGGACGTTAGTTGATGGACTGGAGTCATGTGAGGTACTTTTGGGTTATTGAGATGTTTTATCAGCTGTTTTCAAACTGGATTTCATGTTGACTTTACTAGATACATTAAATTACTAAATGCACCAGGTGGGTGCTGGAAGTGTTTTCTCATGGCAGGAGCTGAACCGAATTACAAATGAGAGTGAATAATGGAGGGAGACCCACTCTATCAGCTTAGATTTTTGTTTCTAGACCTCTCTGAAGATGTTCCTCTCAATCTCTCAGGAAGATGACAGGCAGATGAGCACTGGATCAGGAAGTTATTATCTCAAAGCTGTTAGGTCAAGTCTTCAGAGACTCTTCTCTCTTCTATAATGCCATTTTTTACTAAACTATTTTGGCTTCATGGGATCTAAACCACGAGCTCACTTCTGACATATAAAGTTGAAGAGCAGTAAGCGAGAGAACATAATAAAACGCATGTTCTGGAGTGCATAAAGAACGTCTGTTGGACGTGTCGTGTTCATAGACCACAGTGCTGGGGTGAGATAGCAGTTCAGCAGAAGCATATTTACGCCATCTGCCAGTCTTCCTGCTTTAAACATGCAGATCTGCTCTGAACATTCATCCATTAAGCAGCATGTTGTCATCTGTCTATTTTTCACTCTGGCTTCTGCCCTTTTCAGGTTTTTGAATAATGTGCTTAATTTGGAGTTTCTCCAAGTTAATGCAGTACTTTTTTTCTCTCTCTTTCTCTTTTTGGATTGTGTAGTCAGTGAGTTTAGCTGAGGGAGGCACAGGGCTAATTTAGACACTGCTTGCTCTGAAAATCACATAATGACATCCTGAAAAGAAAGCGAGATGGCCACACCAGAGCCTGCGGTTAACGCAGATCTTTTCCAGACAGCACAGGGCCCACCCTCCTCCCTCTCACTGTCCTCCCCTGCCTTCACTGCTTAGTATGCAGGGTCCAAAATTAACACTCGACAAGTGCCAATACGAGTAAGAATTGGATTTGGTAAGTAAATTAAACTGAACAGTAACTTTAGGAAGGATCTGCAAAGTAATACATGCACTGCAAATAATAATAATAATAATAATTTTATTTTTGATGTAAGGTACAGTATGTATTGAGAATACCATATAGTATATATTTAATTATATTATGACCATTTTTTTTTCTGACCCCTGATGATTTAATAAACAAAATATTTTACAATAATATAAATATAATATAAATAATATATTATAATATAAATATAAAGTAAATATGTTGTTATATATATA